TGCCACGTTTATCAGTTTTTATTTTTGAGGTTAGATCAATTTTTTTTAAGATAAATTTTAAATTTCTACAGTATGAGTTTAATAACATCATTTAATTGCTATAAATTTTTAAAAACAAAATCCCTATATTGTTGTACATATATTTTTTTCTTTAAAATTCAAAAATTCATTCAACATTAATTAATTATATTTTTTTGGTTTTTTAATTCAAAATGCTTATACTACAATCAAAAAAGAAAAAAAAATGGCGTCACAAAATTACGCTCTACAGCTACACTGACAAAATCAAACTTTTATTTTTTTGTATATAATATATATATATATATAAGAATATATATACTAAAAATAAAAATTATATTATTATTATGTTTATATTCTACGCAAACACACACAATACATATACATACAATATTTAATTTTATAATAATTACTATAATAATATGTAATAATTATACATTTATAAAAGACTATGTATATATATAATTAAAAAATATTATATAAATAGAGAAAGGATTTAAAGCCTTATAATTATAATATATACTTAAGAATATATATATATATATATATGTATAGGCGTATATATGTACACATATATGTAAAAATATTTCAATAAATTTGAAATTTATTTAATAAGATTCTCTTGTATATTTTATAATATAAATTACACATATATACATATATACATATATATAAAATTAATATTCAATTAATTCTAAATAAATTAAAAAATTAAATGAAATTAAAATAAAATGAAGAAAAGAAAAAGAAAGAAATAATATTTTTGTGAATAAAATGAAAAAAAAGTAAAAATATTCAATAAAAACGAAAAATTTTTAAAGAGTGGTTTACACGTGCTATTTTTAAAGTGCAATTATATTTTTTTTAAAGCTAAGATTATTTCTGTTGCTTTTTTGTTTTTGGTTTGGTTTTTTTTTGCTATTTTTCATTTTCATAAATTTATAAACAAAAATTTATACATATAGATTTTTTTTTTCAAGTAATTTTTTATCAATTTTTCTTTAATTGTTTTTATAAAATTTTTTATTTATGTTTTATTATTATAATTGTTATTTTAAAATAATTTAGAATTCGGGTATTATATTAGCGAATTTTTCATTAAAATATAAACACAAATTTAATTTTAAGTTTTTATTGTCATAAGTCAGTTATGACAAATTCAATTTGAGTAATAATAATAAATATTGAGTGTCAGTAGATCTTGAGTAATAATAAATGACTCAATAAAAAGAATAAAATGACTCAATTCATTCAAGTGTAAACATATTCATTATATAACATTTCCTACTCAGAACTATTCCGGAATGTATTTAGGATAATTAAGAGTAGTTTGTAAATGAAGCCATTTTATATGAAATACTGATGTTTAGGAGTAAAAACACTTAAGCTAAAAATTAAAATATTAAAGTGTTGCCGCCGTGACGTTTTTTTTTTTCATATAAAATTTTGAAGCCATCTACGAGAATAAATTCTGTTAGTAACTCCTCTTGCAATTACTTTTTGGCATAAAGTTGTTTATTTGATATATAAGAACATGTCATATTCTACAGTGTTATACGTTTGGATAGATTTTCTTTACTCCAAACTTATTTTAAATTTAATATTAAGTTTTTTGTTTTTGTAATATTAAATTACTAAAAATGCAATTACTCGTTCATTAAAAAAAAAAAAATTACTCGTTTTAAAATAACAAATCCAAATATTTTAAAAATTAAACAATGACGTTAAAAGACATCAAAAAATTGTTTTTTTTTTATTAATTTCCATTTCGGTTTATTATAATCGATTTCGGTATATATCAGTTTTATTTTATTCAGTTTTTATTTTATTTTCATTAAATTTAAAAAAAATTCTTCCCATGTTGTATTTTAATTTTTTGAAAATTCGGAAATATGAAATCCAATTTTGAAATGTCATTTCAAAAATGGTAAAATTAATTTTTTTTTATTGAAATTTCAATTTTATTAATTTGTTAATTTAAAAGGATTTTACTGGGAATCAATTCATTATTATACATAAATTTAAAATTCTTATATGCTTTAATTTTTAACAATAAGAATAGTGCATTATAATAAAGAAAAGAAAGAGTTGAACATAGTTGAAAGAATAGGCTATAGTAAAATAAAGAACAGCCGGGTCAAGTTTTCATATATTTGCATTTTTTGATTTAATTTTATTAAAAAATTATTAAATTTTTAATTTTAATTTAATATTAATATAATATTTTTATATTCTATGCAATCCATTTAAATATAGAACAATATCTAAGATAAGAAGAATTTCGAGGTCTTTTGCCATTCAGTCTCTTGTATTTTATGTTATAAATTTGTTCTTCATAATTCTTATTCTATTAATATTAAATTAAAATTAAATTTAATCAAGTCAAATTCATTTCAAATATTATTTTTTGTAAAATATTTAAAAGGCTATAGGAATAATCGTAGCATTAAAAAATTAAAAAAGGAAAAATCGCGTGTTTTAAAGAAATGAAAATAAAAAAAAAAAATTATATATAAAAAATTTAAGGAAAAAAAAAATTAAAATAAAAAATAAAACTTTCTTTTTGTTTTTTTTTGTTATCTACATTGTAGGTATAAAAATAAAAACTTTTGAATTTTTTATAATCACAAGAAAGAAAAATGTAGAAAAATTTTTCGTTTCCACTTTAGGAGAACACATTTTCCTCGAAAGAAAAAGAAAAGAAAAATAAGAAAAATGAAAGTAAAATAGAACAGAAAATTTACTGTTTTTTTTTCTAATTTTTTTTTTTAATAAACTAATTAAAACAAAATTTTTTTTGCTCTTATTTAATATTTGAATTTAATTACGAATAAATTGAAGCAGAAAAAAAAAATTAACTATGACAGCAGAATCGTTAAAAAAAAATGTTTTTTTTTTTTTGTTTTTAAGTTTTATATTGTAAAATTACATAACAATATCATTCAAAAAGAAGAAACAAAAAACAAACAAAAATGAAATGACAAAAAAAAAAAAAAAAAAAAAATAAATATTCCTTAAAAAACAATTTTTCACATTAAGGATATTCACGATTCGTTATTAAGAAAGATTTCTTTAATAATGTTGAGAATTTTTCTATTGAAAGCAGAAATAGAATGTTAGAGAGGGAAAAGATATCTCGGAGAAAGGTTCGGGAGAAAATAAAATGTGAGAGAAATATATGAATTTCATTTGCATGGAGAAAATAAGATTAAGGAGAAAATTCGGTCACAAAATTCAGATATAAAGGGTCCATTTAGAAAATGATAAATAAATATTTTGAAACCATAGTTGGACAGGAAAAATTTCATTTATTTATTAATAAGTACAAACGTTATGTGCCTGTTCATTCATCGTTCTGAAATGATGTTATAAGTGACGTTAAGTGTCATTCATTCTATTTTGTAATTGTATGAAGATGTTTTTTCTCTTTATTTGAAAAGTACACTTACTCATGTTTCACCGAAATTTAATATTATTTTGAGGAAAAACAATATAATATTTTTTCGTATTTTAATATAAAAAAAACTTTTCTAGAACAAAAATTTTATTGAAAGAAAATAAAACACCTATGCAAAAAAATCTGTCATTCAAATAGTGTACTACGGTAACACTTTTTAAATTCAATAATATTGCATGTGTCAAATTATGCAATAATAGGAAAATTAATCAATAAAAAAGTTGTCAAATTATTTGTAAGTTTTAAATTAAAATATGTCAATACGAGCTTTTCGAACTTATTGCTCCTATGCTATTTAAGCTAATAATTTCATTTTTCCAATTCAAATTTTTCAAAAATTGAAACTTTAATTATAAAAACAAAATTATCAATATAACAATATCGTGAATACACCCTAGTAATGTTTTATTTCTTATTATAAATATTATAACAAATTTATTAAAAATCATTTCCAAAAAAAAAAAACAAAATTAAAAAAAATTATAAGAGAAAAAAATTTGTCAAAAATAACGCATTCGCCTAACGCATTTTTTAACTTTTAATTTTATTTTTTTTTTTTTATTTTCTTTATCTACAAATTAAAATTTTATTTCATTTTCAAAACTTAATTGAAAGGCTTAAATTCATTTCATTCAAAGAACATTTTAAACAAAAAAAATAACAAGAAACTTAAAGACTTAAAATCAAATTTTTCTGTCATTAAAAGTGTTTTGCTATTTTGTAGTAAAGGCTTAGCAATGGTTTGAAAACTATATCTATATATATATTTATATTTATATAAAAGTATAAAGTATATGGCTTATAATATAATTTTTTAACAGAAAATCAAAAATAAGGGGGCTGCTTCAAAAAATACGTAACGCAATTTTTAAAAATCGTAATGTACGTAATGTGGTGATAAAAAATGAGACTAAATATCGAAAATCCAATTATAACCCAAATCACAATATATTGTGATGTTCCCACGCGTTAGCATTACATATTTTTCGTAAACAACCACTATGCATAACAAAAAAACCAGAAACGAAAATAATTATTTTTCAAAAAAAAAATTTTATATCGCTGTTTTCTAACTTAAACAACTTCTTTTTTTAAATAGAATTTAATTAGATCTAAAAGTTGGTTTGTTTCAAATAAAACAGAACAAAAACAGAGAAAAATTACTAAAGCAGAGATTTTTTGGTGTGTCTTGATTTATACATTTTTTTTAAATTTATTTTTACTATATAGTTTAAAAAAAACAACAAATGAAAACCAAAAAAAAAAACTAAAACTAAAAAACAAAATTGTAATTAACAAAAAACAAAAGAGAAAAAAAAATATTTATAATTCAGCGAAAATAAAAAAAAATTTAACACAAACGGTAACACTAAAATCAATAAATTAAAAACAAAAGAAAAAATCATAACAATCAACAAAAAAACAAAATCATTTTTAAAACGAGATTTTTTTTTAATTTTTTTAAATTTTTTCATTTATTTTTTTTTTTTTTGTTTTGTAGAAAAAAAAATACAATTGCACTTACAAGTGGTCTTCCCCAATACCATGATTTGACACGTTGCGTTAAACCACCCAAATGTGAACGAAGTCCATCTAGGTAGCCACCCTGTAACAAATACAAATCGGGAGAAAAAACAGGAGAAATAAAATTCAAATAAAAAAAATCTCTCTTACTTTAAAAAAATAAAACAAAAATTAAAAAATTATAACTATAAAAAAATTAAGAAATTTTTAAGGTAACTATTATACAAAAAATATTATATACCAAAGAATTGGAAAATATTATGCAATTTTGTTTTTAATCAGTATTTTGTTGTTTTTGTTTTTAATAATTATACATAATATAATTTGTTATATTTTTAATATATAATTATTAAAGGAAAATTTTATATGGTTGACATTATTATTGTATGTATAACAAATTTTATTAAACATTTTACATAAAAATACAGACAAAATTTATTAATACATTTGCTTATATGAAAATGTAAAAATTTTAGCGCAACTACATATTTTTATTAAAAAAAATTTTAAAAAGTCAAAAAATACTTGTAAATTATAACAGTTTTGTAATATAACAATTTGTAAATGTAAGGGTATCTAAATGCAAGCGTAGTGCGAACAAAATGTCAACGTGACTTAATAAGTTGTAAACAGAATATGAACGATTTTCCGCGGCGAAATGTCAAAATTCATATAGAATAATTCATAAATATAAAAATGGGATGGCCCGGAATGAAGCGAAATTAACTTCACGAATTCAACCGATACCGGTAAAATGGTCTAAAATATTGTTCTAGTATTATTCTGTGTTAACAAAGGCAATCATCCGACGTCGCCGTAAACATAGTACTTAGGTGTTTGTGTATCAGATAAGAAGCACTATCTCCCTGGCAATTGGAGATAATCCAATATAATTCTTTAAATATTATCTAATTTTTTAATAATAATGTTTAAATGCAAAGCGAAAATCTCATAATTACATAAATAATATTTCAAATTCATAGAGTCATTCAATTTTTGTTACTTGCCACTCTCGATCTCCAATCCTCTAACAAATAATCTTATAATCTTATAAGCGTTCGCAATAAAAACAATCTTATCAAAATTTTTGCTTTATTATAGGAAATAAACGGCAACACTACCAAAGGCAAATATAATTGAAGTATTCCTGTTAATGAAGATTTTTTGACTTTTTAAATTCTTTTGTTGCATTTGCTCGTTAATTTAAGGTAGGTAATTAATATTTTCAAAATATATTTTTTTATTTATTATATTTTTAATTATTATTATGCCAAAATATCTACAATTTCTACAATGTCAATAAAAATTAATTATATTTTCTTGTAAAAAATAAAAAATAAAAGATAAAATACATAAATATATTTTATAGGAGGCAGAGAAAAGACACCAGAATTGAGATACGGATTTACAAAAACAAAACATAAGTATGTATATTGAAAGGACATTTAACAAATTATTCTCGATTTAAATACGAGTAAGTATGTAAATAAAATAAAAAACTTTTCTTTATAAAACATAGAAATAGCACAAAAAATTTCAAATTAACAAAAAAGTAAATTATAAAATAAATTATGAAAAATATTAAAAATATAATTTTGTTAAACATTTTACATTTAAAAAATTTCATTTACAAAACTGAAACAGCTTTTTCTTTTAGCTTTTTGTAAGCCTCAATACTCGTATATCAGTGAAATTGTCAAAATATTTAACAGCAAAAGAAGGAAAAAATTATCAAAACTCCTACATACCTAGTTAGGACATTTAATATTTATTACCACAACATTGAAATTTCTCCAAAGGCTAAATAAAACTGGTTAACAGATGAATATTCAGATCACGGGAGGAAGGTCTACTTTGGACCTAGTTGAAACCATTGTCAGAACAAACAATTCAATACAACAACTAACAGAAGAGGCAGCAGAAAAATTGTTTCAATAATTATTTTGGATATCAAAATGCCTTTACCTCACCAAAATGAGCAATATAACCTAAATTTATTGCAAAGTACATATAAAATCCCTGACCATAGTATAGATCTATTAAAGCTCATAAGCTGGCATAGGAGAATTAAAATGGAGTATGAAAAAAGAAATAACAACCGAAATATGGAAACGGCAATTCGTTGATATACGAAAGTATGCTAAAAAATAGTAAAGCACTCAATTGGTGGGACAATTCTGATCAGTTGTAGAGTGGTTATGGCACAGGTCGTTAATTGAAGGGTCTCGAGTTCTAGCATTGCGAACTGAGACTCTTAGGTCCTTCTCACGTCTTCCGAAGTATCTCAGTTGTCGACCTAACGCCTAACATGCACACAATGAGTTCTCAATTGCTTCATCCTATTCCAGACAGAGACGGTAAACCTAGTCCTTCACCTTTTCCATCCGTTTCAAAAAGATCATCAACTTTCAATGTTCACTGAGTACACCCACAAATAGCCTCAAATCTGGACGACCAAGTGTAGCCAGTTTCCATTTGCCGCTACCAGGAATGAGATAAGCCTAGGTAATTGTTTTAATTATCAAACCTGACCCGTTCCTCCCAATCGTTCATGGCATGCAGAACAATTGTCCTCCAAAAGCATAGCTCCGGCGCAATAAAAAGTTGTTCCTCCCCTTCGGGCGAGATCATTAGCTCTCTCATTTCCGTCAGTGCCGTAGTGTAACGATATGAACACCAAGGTTACCATCTTATACATAGCCAGGAAGTCAAGAATATCAACGCATTCCTTTAGCAACGCTATAGTGTGAATTCTACCGTATCAGATGAGAGTCCTAAGAAACCTTCTAATGTCTGACAAAATAAAGATCCCGCTCCTCCTGAAACTCGCTCTGATACATTCCAGAGCACAGAATTCTGTCGCATATGCTTTAGCCTGAAATATTGATGGATCCGAGGGCCCCTTTGAATCAAGTGGTTAACGCTAATGCCCCCAGGTCCCAAGTGGAGTAAGTCAAAAAAGAGGAAGGACAAGCATATAAAGTCACAGTGTTATACAGTGTTACACAGTGTTGACACGGGGAATAAAGTAAGCACGAATCACGTTGAATTGAGGTTGGACATGTAAATAGCTTGTGGATGAATTTTATTTGAACAAATAAAATTAGCGATAGCTAAAAGAAAAACATCTAACATCATGAAAAAAATAATGTAAAAGTTAAAATTATTTCAAGCGGACACGGAAGGGATTCAAATCCAGGAAGCAGTAAAAAAGTTTAAATTTATATTGTTGACTACAAGAGAGTAGCATATTTAAAAAGTGACGAATTGATTGTAAAAATTGGCCAACCAGCGTTTTTTGAAAAATGTGCTAGTCAACTGATTGCTATTCCACTTTTTTTCGATATTCTAGTAGCATCTAGCATTGAAACAATGCAGAGAACTACACAGGCTATATACTGCTATTGTACGAACTCGGTAATGGAAGGCACAATTAATATTAGCTTACTAACACTACAAAAGAAGAGCATATATACAAGGAATTCACGACATGAACATGCAGTTGCAGACATGAAAATTAGTGTCCAACTAGGACTTGTATTTATAAGTCCATTGATTTTTTCTTGTCTACCTACGTAATTGGGGAAATTTTTTTAAATCTAAAATTTTAATTATTATTACTATTTACACTTTTAGGTCGTCATCTGAATTCAATCAACTAATTCTACTGATGAATAATTATTCTACTAATAATGCCGGCCAATTGAAAGGACGAAGCCATATAATATATACATTGATAGTACATTATATTAAATTTCTATTAGCCTTTTTATATTAGCCTTTCTTAATTAATCATTGTCATTGAGAAAATAATTTCTAAATATAGAAATTATAATGTAAAATCTTATGAAACTAAACTAATCCTTATACGAGTATATGAAAGAAATCCTTGATAAAAGTTTCCTATCATATTTATATTAATAAAAACACACACACACCTACGCGTCTATTATAATTCCACTAATCATTTAAAATAATTGCTAAGGCAAATATTTTTTAATAACTTTAATTTTTTTTTCTTCTTTTGACTCATTTGATTTGTTTTAATTTTCTTTCAATTAGTTATGAAAATATTAAATATTTTGACAATTTACCAACCACACATACATAATGTACATGTATATAATTATATAATGACATATAACATGTTCTTTTCGAAAATCAAATACACGTTTCATTTATTTAAAGGCAAAATATTGCGTTGACAATTACTTAACAATCATTTTAATCATATATGCATGTATATAGTTTTACTAGGTGTATGACGTATGTGTATTTTACGTGTATTAATAAAATAGTTTTCTTATTGTTTTGATTCTGTTTGATGTGGATTAATGTTAGAAGGTGTTATGGGTGAATGGGTGTTTTTATATGGGTGTATTATTTAATTTGTATGTAAATATATAAATAAAATAATAATAATATATAAGTATATGTACAATTAGATGTGCAATGAAAAATTTGTATGGGTAGGTAAAATTATGTGTTATTAATTTATTTGTATGTATGTATATTGCTATAACATAGGTAATACATAATTATGTTACAAAATATTTACAGCCTCTTTTAAATACCTAACAATACAAATGCGACATTTTAACAAGATGACATATAAATGCGTGTACTTTTATATTTGATCCTTTTTCAAACAAAATATTTGCGTCATTTCATAATTATTTAATAGGTAGTTGTTATGAAAATAATAAAGAATACAAAAAAAATAAAACGAAATAGTTATGGGAATCTAAAAATAAAAATTAATTTTGCAAAAAAATTTGGAAAATTTTTAAAAATTCTTGGTTTTTTATTTCTAAATTAATTTTTTTTTATTTACGATGTTTTTCTATAGCCTAAATAATTTTAAATAGTTTTTAGTTTTTATAACATTAATTATTTTAGTCTGCTGTCATCTATATATAATTATTAAAATTTAATTAACTAAAATAATATTTATTAATATTTATACTAATTTATATATACTATATAACAATTTGGCTACGAAAAAAATTAAAAAAATTTTTGAATAAAATAAAAATAAATTTAAACTATTTAGATCATATGCAAAACGAGTGAAAAATT